CAGCACCCCTGCAAGCCCTGAGGAGTGCCTAGATGGGAAGGCGGTAAGCGTCAGTGACAGCCAGGGTCACAGACAGAGAACCAGACACCCAGGCCTCCTCCAGTCTTGCCAGAGGGATTGGCCTGAGTCTGACTGAGCCTCTGGAACCAGCCAGAACATGCCGAGTGGCTCCCCAAGTGTGTCACCAGCAACAAATAGACTTGGAGAAATTCTACAGGTCAAACAGCCCTGGTTCTCCAACAAATTGTTCAGATCGGGAAAGGGATAGAGAAGGAAACTATAGCTAGGAGACAAAAAACAGCAAAGGTGTCGGGGGGCAACAGGGACATGCATTTGGATGATAAAAAACTGTTAATTAAAAACCAGGAAGGAGTGATGCCTATAAAAGTCAGGTTGCTTGTGGGGACAGGAGACGGCTGAGAAGCGGCCCAGAAGGGCCTCCAGGGTGAGCGGCCAAGTTCCTGTTCTTGACCCGGGCAGCGTTTGCTTTCATTAACTCATTCATTGGATGTGCATGGGTTTCCGCATCTGTGCTTTATTTTACAAGAAAGATTTCTGAAAAAGTCAGCATATGCTAAATAGGACCTTCCTCTGGATGCTGTGAGAAAGACAGGACATAGAACGATGGGAGGGGAGATAGGGAAAAACCAGTGCAGTGATCCAGGTGCGAAGTGGTGAGATGCCAGCCTCTCTGACGGTGGTGCTGACAAGACCTCCTGACAGATAAAATGTCGGGCATAAAGGACAGGAACCCAGGACATCTCTAAGGTGTTGGCCCACGCAGCGGGAAGACAGCTGGCACCTACTGAGATGGGGGCGAAGCAGCTTTCCTGGCAGAAGCTGACTTTGACTTGGTGCATGTGAAGGGTGAGATACCCTTTTAGACATTAGGCCTAACGTTCCCCCGAGAGGTACCCATGTTCCAGTCCCCAGAATCAATGAATGTTACCTGATATGGCAAAAGGGATTTTACAGGTGTGCTGAACTAAGGATCATGAGATGGGGAGGTTACCCTGGATTATCCGAGCGGCCTCTAAACGTCATCACCATATAAGAGGCAGAAAGGAGTCAAAGACGGGAGAAGGCACATGATGACAGAGCAGAGACTGGAGTGGTGTGGCCATGAGCCAAGGAACGCAGGTGGCTTCTAGAAGCTGGAAGGGGCAACGAAGGGATTCTCCCGTGGCGCCTCCAGAAGGACAACTTGATGTCAGACTTCTAGCCTCCAGAACTGAGACACAATAAATGCCTGTTGTCCAAGGCACTTTGACACAGCAGCCCTAGTAAACAATCACATGGTCGCCCTTGGTAACATGTGAGCTTCATGTGGGCAGGGACATCAGCTGGTTCCCTGGTGTACAGATCCAGCATCGAAAGCACGGGAAGGCACACAGCCCTGGCAGCTGTTTTGCGACCATGAGAAAAGGAGCTGATCCAGCATGGAGCCGATATGAAGTGGGGCTGAGACACGGTGATAATAAACTGGGTCCTGATCACACTGGCTGACGCGGCAGATCGAGCCTTTTTGGTTGTGTACTCTATATTAATAAATGTATTTCTTTGAGTTTTTTGTTATTAGTACAAACCGTTACTGTATATACCCTGTTGAAAGAGATGAGTCCTAGAGTTCCCCCCACCGCCCGGCAGGACCCCAGGGGGCTTCCTTTCCTCACCTCCTCGATTTTGCCAGACAGAGCACCTGGAAAGTGGTAGAGGGTGTGAGAACAGACTGGGTCTGTGGGGCTCTGGAGAGCCACTGAGTTTCATATAGGACAGTGACAAGGTCAGAGCATTCATTCATTCAACAGTCATTTCTCCTGGGTGCCAGACCCCTTTGAGGATGCTGGGGGCACAGAGGTGTCTCAGACCAGGGCCCTGGCCTGGAGGAGCTCACCGTCTGATACAGACATGAAGGAGACAGTGAGCAAGAGGAGACAGGGCTGTGTGGCCAGGGAAGAGAGGACATGGCCTTGGGGTCAGGAAAAGTCCCCTCCCCTTGCTTGCCAGAGGGGAGGATACTCAAGTTGGGTCATTAAGGATGAGCAGATTATTTACCAGGAAGAGGAAGGTTTTCATCCATTCATTCATTTGTTCAGGAAACACCTCAGTATTGCTGGTGCCAGGTCTGTGCTGGACCCTGGGGATCCAGAGATGAGTCCCAATCAGTACCTGTCCCCAAGCAGGACCTAATCCAGTGTGGCTACAGATGCGTGGAGGCAGCAGGGGGTGCTATGGGAGCCCAGAGTGGGGCAGAGCTGACTGCTGGGGAAGCTGTGGGAATTAAGCTGGATCTTGAAAGCCAGATTTACCAGCCAGAGATGGCGGCAGGATATGCCAGCAGAAGCAGGAGCCGGAGCTGGCAGGCCGGGAAGTATAGCATTAACAGTTTACGTCCAGGCCAATAAGGGAGCATGGGTAGGTTGTTTGGGGAAACAGAGAAGCTGCCATGGAGGGAGCAGGACCAGATCACGCAGGGACGGACTCAGAAACCTGGATTTTATCCTGTAAGCAGTAGGATTCCTGGAGGGTACCAGCAGGAGAGCAACAGTGTTATGAAGATCACTTGGGGCCACCACAGGACAGTGAGCCCAGAACAAGGGCCAGCCAGCTGAGCAGCCTCCGGGCACAACGGTTGTGGATGGAGGACCCACCCACTCACCTTGGGTTACAGCCGACTGGGGCCCAGTGGCTGCAGTCCCTGTGCGCTCCCGCTCCTTCCCCTCCACACTCCCGGCTGGCAGGGCTGCGGGGAGGACAAAGGAGCCGGGAAAACGTCTCCCTTCCTCCTAGGGCTGACCCCCTCGCCATGCTAGATGAGCCCCCAAAATGTCCCGAAGTAGGAGGACCAGTCAGAACATGAGCATCCCTGCAGGAATCACAGCCAACTGTAGTTACTGAAACTACGCTAGCCCCACATTTCTACTGTGCTTGGGCCCTTGGTACACAGCGACTTCCCACCGTTCTCAGCACTTACCACAGTCTGTAAATATATGGGAGACAAGGTGATGAAGGCCTGTCACCTGGGTGGGACCTTCTGTCCTGCTGCCGTGAGGCACAGCACAGTGCCTGGCCCACAGTAAGTACTTCTTCCCTATCTATTGACAGGATCTCTCTACCTGAACCCCTGGGATGACGCTTCTGGGATTTCTGATTATCATCCATAGGATTTGAGTCCAGGTGAGACTGTTGCTGTTCCTACAACTGCAAGATATCTTCAACTTTTTTTTTTTAAACCATGATCCACTTATACAATGAAACAAAAGCTTCAGGAAATACTTAATTTTACAAAGTAGAATGTATTGGGATGTTTTCTAGTCTAGTCTCTTTTACTGCATTCAAGAAAATTATGGTCACTGCCCACTGAGTTGGTGACCCAGAACATGCAAAACACTGTACCATAGGGCTTTAAGCATCTGTAGCCACTGTAAATTTCCTAAGTAGCATGTTTTCAGCACTCCATGCCCTGGAGCAGCAGGGCGATTTCATGACACAGGTCCACAACTCTTAAGCCTCTGGGGCCAGATGTGCTTTGAAGTTCAGAACTTTTCAGATTTTAAAAGGGTGATTACCATATACAATATATTCTTTAAAATCCTAGTGCCGTGTGGGACAGGCAGCAATTGAACACATCCACAGAGTGAGAGGTATAAGTATTTACTCTAAGTAGGAATAATTAAAGGTTATAAATCACAGCAATCCTGTTAAGGTCTGGGCACCAAATTTACAAAAAGAACTGTCTTCAGAGCTTTCTAGATTTTGGTAACAGATAAGGCAGTAGACCAGTAAGTGCTAATGTTTACTTACCAATGACTTTTTTCATGTGACAGAGGTTAAGCCTTGATGGGTGAGTATAATTCAGTCCATGGATGTTTTGTTTGACCTACACAGTATTTACTGGCACATAGGCTTTAAAAGAAAATATTTTAAATAGTCCCAAACTTGAAAACTGGGTAATTTCACCTAAAACTTTGATCTCCAGCTTCTGAAAAATCCTAGGATTTGGCCACACTGGCTCTGCATTCCTACCAACCTAGTTAGTTGGAGCCTATTTAAAGCTACCTTTTAGATAGGGCAAGTACCCCCCTGTTGCCCCACATCGAGAACCTGCCCCAGGCGGGTTCTCTACCTTATCTGCTCGGCTCTCATAGACTTGAGTTTGAGACCCATCTACAGTTTACAAACCACCTTCCGTCCTCGTATACTCCCAGCCCTGGCAGAGAAGAAATGGGAGCGCTGATGTAAAGTTCAAGGTCACAGCCTGTCAGAATAACTTGAGCCGAACAATTACAGGACTCAAAAACTTTGGGCCCTGAGTCCGGAAGTCTTGCTTCTTCTTAGTGTGGGATCAATGGCCTGATCATTCTCCCTTTCCACGCTTCAGTTTCCACAGGGACAAAATGGGGCAGATACAACAGATCCACAGTCCCTTACCTGCAACTCTAAATACCGAAAAAGTATGAAAACCTGACCCTTATTCCTAAATTGAGAGCAAATCTTAACCCGAATTGCCACAGGCTACGTATACCTTTACTCCCTAAAGTGTCAAAATTCACTTTCTGGCATAAATAGTCAACTTCCAAGAATCGCGGGATTGGGAGCGTTGCCTAATTGTAAAATACACACCCCATTAACGCTGAAAAATTCTGATTCCCCAGATGATCCTGGCGCCAAGGGTGTCCGGTATGTGTGGGCGCCGCTGCGCAGATGGTGGGATAAAGGCGAGGACAGAGCGGCGGCTGGCGCAGAGAAAGGGGTAAAAGTTCAGTACTTCGACCCCCGGAAGAACTTCCTTTCATTCGTCCTCCGAGATCCGCCCAGCTTTGCCAGCGACTTCAGGCAACTCACCACCTCCTTCAGTCTGTTTTCTCACCCCAAAATAAAATAGAATCGCTCCTCTCGAGGCTGCCGGTGAGGGCCGGAAAACACTTTTTAAACAACAGCCTGGCAGATCACAGGCTCTTACCAAAGATTTCACCTAGCCCTCCACCGCTCAAGGCGACGACCCTTCGCCGAGGTCGCCCGCTAAGGATTTCGTCACTCCTCAAGAAGGATGGAACTCCCAATCATCCAGGATCCTCAGGGACCGCAAACCCGGCATCTCCTCACCTAGGGACTGCAGTCCGCCAGGTTAACACACGCGACCCCAGCCCGGACGCAGCCAGGTACCCAACCTCTCTCACACGCTCCCCCGCACAACCACTTCCGGTGCCTCGCGAGCTCCCTCAGAACTACTCCACCCAGGTTCCTCCGCGCCAACGCGAGATTCCGTTTCTCAGGGCTGTGCGGACGCCTTTTGTCTTCCGATTTCCGCCCGCTTCTTCGGCCTTAGATGTCCCGCTGAGCACTCTGGGAAATAGAGTAGAAACAGAATTAACAGTCTTACGGTGTTGTAGTCCAGCTTTCACCCTGTTGAAGGCAATCTATAATCAGTGCGCTAGAAGACTGAGGCTTTTTCATTTCTTAAGGCGACAACCAGAGGGTTGCCATGAAACGCGTTGAGAAGGAAATTGGACTCCTGAGGAGACGAGTGGAAGAGGCGGAGTTGAGGCGGAAAAATGATAATACGATATCTGCCTGATTGATGAAGAGAAGCCTCATAGTTCATCCCTCCTCATGATTAGCTCCACATTGGCATATGCGCAGGGGGACGAGGAAGCGTTCCAAATAGGGTGGGATTGGGGTGGGCGATGGCTTTGAGTGACAGGCTAGGCCGGCCTGCCGCAAAGGATTCTGGGAAATGGAGTTCCCAGGTGAGCACAGCCCGCGGGCTGTCGGGAGATCAGCAGCGCCTGCGCGGGCGGTCTTGCCCTGGGAGAGAGGATGCTTGCGCAGCGCATTCCACCCGGGCGGAAGTTACCGCGGGACAACTGAGAAGGTGAGGTTGTGTCCGGGGACTATCTCAGGGCCTGGCTTTAGACACCTGGCACCCCATTCCGCTCACGAAGGCAGAGGTGAGGGGAAGGCGAGGTGGAGCAGGCGGAAGTCTGATGTGGTTATAGTTCGGTTATAGTGCCCGTGGCGTCAGTACGACCCTCTGTGGGAGTCGAGGCCCCTGTTGGGGTGGGGCAGGACGAGAGAAGCTTCTGGTCGCCGAGATAACCGACCGGTCCCAAGCCATTTTGGGCCGCGGTGGTGGGCGAGGCTACAATCGAGACAGGAGGAACTTACAGGGAGTGTGACGGACGCCCCGGCTTGGCGTTGCGTCATCTCTGCGGAGGGCAGGCCGAGTCGCGTCACCGTCTAGAGAACTGTCCTTCCTGCGCTTAGGCGGAGCCAAGCCATTAGCCGTTTTGCTGTGCCGTGTCTCAGAACTTTCCAGGAAGGACACAGCACTGAACACATAGCAGATGTTCAGTCACTGTTTGTTGTATAGATAAAATAAATGGGTGAATGAGCGGCAAAGACTGGCTTTAGTGTTCAGCCCTTGGGTTTAAGTCCTGAACTAGTCCTGCAACCTTAGGTGACTTCATCACTCTGCGACTTTTCTTCCATCCATGTTGAGGGCTTACTATAGCGCTACCCATCTGACCTATTAAGCAACTAGTTGCTCATGTGTTTATTAATGTTGTAGTCCCCCACCAAAATGCGAGCTTCATCAGGTCAGAAGCCATGTTTGTTTCCTTAAATACTGTATCCAGTGATTGGCACATAATAGGAGTTCAATGAATAATTACTGAGTGAATGAAGGAACTTAGCACACACTGGCTATCTAGCCAATGCTCAGTAAACATTAACCATTATCTTTAATTTATATGTGAAGTGAGCCTAAGTCAGCTTCTCCTTCGCTATGCACTTACAGGACACTATTAAGATGGAGTTTCCAGCCCAGTGAATCTGAGGGCCAGACAGTGATCAAATAAAAGGTTCCATCCCCTCTGGCACATGCCTGTACAGCCTGCTCCTGCTCCATCTCCTCCTTAATGCTGCTCTCAGACTTAACTCCCAGGAGGAAGTGGCCATGGCAGGGCCACAGGTTAGGCGCTTGTGGCCCTCAGCCAAGGGCACTGGCACCTGCGAAAATGCCACTAAAGCAAAGCCACTTATAACTGCTATGGATTTTCAAACTTCTGTTACATAAGGAACCTAGCAGAGTGTTAGTGTATTAGTTAGACAAGCCTAGACTATGCTGCAATAAAATCTGAGTGCCAAAACCCAAACACAAATTCCTCACTGATGCAAAGTCTGCAACAAGTCTCCAGGGTGGCCGTCCTATAGGCAGTTTTGATCTTGCGGCTCTAGCTCCAACACGCGAGGGCGTCAGGTGTGCCATGGCCTGAAGAGAGAAGCGGTGGTGACCCCTCTAGCTTCAGAAAAATGTTCATCAGTATTTACACCTTTGAGAAGAAGGAGATGTCCTTTTAAATGTGATTTTCAGGACAACAGATTACTTAAGTTACATAACCAATCAGAATTACTGGCTTCTTAGAGGGTAAAGGATGCTTGGCAACAGTCTTTGCAGTCCAGTGTCTGTACAACTCCTTTGTGTGAAAAAAGAACAGGGTAGTTTTATGCCACAGTGCGGTTTCTGCTCTTCTGCAGGCCAAGGGGAAAAGGAAACCTTTTCTCCTCTGGCTGAGATTTCTTTCACTAGCTGTTTGGACAGCCTGTGTGTTTCAAGGAATTCAGCTCCAAGAGGAAATGGAGAGGTCTGAGAGACTCAGAACTTCCGGGAAGAGAAAAGGGAAGAAGAGAAATACATTGGACCCTTGAGCAACATGGGTATTGGGCATGCCAACCCCCTACACAGTCAAAAATCCAACGTATAACTTTTTACTCCCCAGAAACTTAACTACTGATAACCTACTGTTGAGTGGAAGTTTTATCAATAACATAGTCAATTAACATATTTTTATATGACATGTATTATATACTGTATTCTTACAGTAAGGCAAGGAAGAGAAAAGAAAATGTTCTTTGAAATTGTTGCAAATCTCCAAAGTTTTCCAATGTATTTATTGAAAAAAATCCACATGTAAGTGGACCTGCACAGTTCAACCAGTGCCTGCCAAGGGTCAGTTGTATTGACAAATAGGATATAATAAATGGGATACAGGGCATGATACAGTAATAACAACCACTAATGTAAAAAAGCTTTGGGCCAGTCCCTGTTCTCAGCACTTCATATACATGTATAGGCCCTCAACAACCACTCTGTCAGACAGGTGCTATCAGAAGCCCCATTTTACAGTTGGGCAGACTGAGATATAGAGAGGTTAAGTAATGCATCTGCCATATAATGAGTCATAAGAAATACATACTTGGTCACTCAGATGACCAAATAATATATTTCCCAGGTATATCTGGTCTCCATCCACAGTCCCTGAAGACACAGCAGAGTCTTAAAGGTGAAATGGGTGTCTTCTCATGTTAATGAGAGACTTCTGCACTCCCACCCGAGGGCAGGGACTGGATATTGAATCAGCCAATGGCCAGTAATTCAGATAATTATGACCGTGTAATGAAGCCCTCACAAAAGCCCACGAGAAGAGCATATCCCTCTCTCTTGGATTCTGCTTCTCTGTTGGAGGGAGCTTCCATGCTCGGGGAACCAGACCGCCTCCATGTGTCACCGAGCCAGGCCCCAGCTCCACCAGGACAGAGGCACCTTTATTCAGGACCTTGCCCCGTGTCCCTCTTCATCTGGCTGTTAACTTGTCTCCTTTATTAAACTGGTATAACCATGTTTTCCTGAGTTCTGTGAGCCGCTCTAGCAAATTAATCAAACCTCAGGGGGAGGTCGTGGGAACCTCCCCTCTGTAGCGGGTAGGTCAGAAGCCCCGGGAACTGACTGGGACTTGTGGTTGGTGTCTGGAGTGGGGGGTGGAGGGCAGTCCTGTAGGACGGAGCCCTTAACCGGGGGGCTCTGGCACTGTCTCTGGGCAGAGCATTAGACTTGAGTTCTCGGACAGCCTGCTGGTGGGAAGACCCTCCTGCCACACACACACACATTGGAATCAGGTCTGGGAACCTGAAGGGAGTTATACTACTATTACTGCAGTTTAATATACTAATACTATTATTGTTGTACATGTAGGAAAAAAAACTACAGTGCCCAAAACAGCATATCTGGAATTCAAATCCAGGCAGCCTGGGACCAGAGCCTGTGATTTTAAGGACTCCTCTATTTGCAACCGCAACAGAGACCGACCTTTATAGTGAATAAAGTGAAACTATTTAATGAGACTAAGCCAGACACAGAAAGATAAATACGGCATTCTTACCGAACACTGGTCATCATCACCGAAGTCAAATTACAAAACATAATGACAAGGTTTTGAGGAAAAGAAAGGAGCAGTTTATTTGTCAGCAAATGAGGGAGCGGCCGGCTCATACCTTGCAGAGCCACTGTCCCCCCGAAGCACAAGCAGGGCCTTTAGGGGGGAGATTGTGGGAGGGAGGCTGTGGTGTTCATGACCACAGACACATAAACAAACACACAGACATTCTTCACTGATTAAATTGCTTTTTGTGCTTTTTGTTTCTCTCAGCAGTTCCTCCTCAGTTACCCTGGGACAGGATATCCTGGGTTCTGTCAAATCGGCTTTGTGCGTTTATCTCTGACCCCAAGACTCAGAAAATAGGGGGAACAAACAGAAGCCGCCACCTGTTAATGGTTACAAGGTTTTGGGGGCTACTTGAGTTCATTCTCCAGTAAATGTTACTGTTGAATTTTAAACCCAGGGATTTAATTCCAGTTTTCCTCTGTTACAGCATAACCTCACTTATATGTGGAATCTAAAAAAAAAAGAAGAAAAAAACGGTCAAATTCGTGGTAACAGAGAGTGCAGTATCTACCAGAGGCTGGTGGGGAAAGGGGGAGATACTGATAAAGGCTACAGACTTGAGTTATGACTGAGTTCTGGAAACCTAATGTATAGCACGATGACTATAGTAAATAGTTATTATATACTAGAAATTTTCTGAGAGTAGATCTCAGGTGTTCTTACTGCAAAAAATGACGGGTATGTTAGTTTGTGGCAGTCATTTCATAATGTATACCCATTGTGTCAAAACATCTTGTACCCCTTACAGTTTTTATGTGTCAAAGACAAATAAAAGTAAAAAGAAAACTTTCTCTTGCAAGGGCAGATGAAGTCCTGAGCACAGATAATCCTTTAGATATAAGTGGTACTGTACGCTGTCTTGAGTAAAAAACAAATAATTTTGTACCTTTCTTTTGCTACCTAAAAACATTAATTTGGAGGACATGTTGCACTGTCATCATTGTAAAAATTTGTATGTGGAAATCCTAACCCCAAGTATCTCAGAATATGGAGATTTAGCCTTTAAAGAGGTAATTAAGTTAACATAGGCTGTTAGGGTGGGGCTGCTGTGGTCTGAATATTTGTATCCCCCCCACAAAAAAAATTCGTATTTTGAAATGCTAATACCAAACAGGATGGTAAGAGCTGTGGACCTCAGAAGGTGGGTAGGTCATGAGGGCAGAGCCTTCATGCATGAAATTAGCATAGTTATAAAAGAGACCTGAGCCCTTTCTACCATGTGAGGTTGTCAGTGTGCAACCAAAAGAGGGCCTTCCCCAGAGCCCAACCGTGGTAGCACCCTGATCTTGAACTTCCCAGTCTCCAGACTGTGAGAAATAAATTTCTGTTGTTTCTAAGCCACCCAGTCTGTGATACTTTATCACAGCAACCCAAGCAGACTAAGGGTCCTTATGCAGTATGACGTGTGTCCTTACAAAAGGCGATCAGAACACAGAGGGACAACCATGAATTCACAGTGAGAAGGCAGCCATCTGCAAGCCAAGGAGAGAGGCCTCAGAGGAGAGAGGCTGACACCGTGATCTCCAAAATTGTGAGAAAATAAATTCCTGTTACTTAACCATCCAGTCTTATGATATTTAGTTATTGCAACTTTAGCAAATGAATGCATCTGCCATGTCCTCATTTGTTAAAGGCCTATTTGTGATTTTGTTTTTGATTTTTTTTTTAGTATTAGGAAATATTTCAGAGATACACAAGGCTTAGAGGATAATGTAGTAAACACTAAGTTACTTGTCTTACTACATTAGTCAGCATAGAATCGGCTGTGCTGCATAACAAATAAACCTAAAATCTTGGTGGCTTAAAACAGCATAAGTTTACTTGCAGATCATGAGATTCCAATGTGGAACAGGCAGCCCACCTCCATATTGTAGCCCTGCCATCTAGAGTATGTGGCCTCCAGAGCCATCCCTACATGGGAGGGGTGGACAGAGTCAGTACTCTGGCTTTTAACTGCTTCAGCTGGAATATGACTTCCATTCAACACCCCATTGACCAGAACTAGTCATGTGGCCCCAGTCTAACTGCAAGGGACCTTGGGAAGTGCAGGGAAGCATGTGGCTATTTGGTGAGCATTGACTTCTCCCCCATCCCCATGGTGTGGTTTAAGAAATGAATAAACATCACAAGTGTTGGTGGGGGGACATTGTATATTTTCCTGGGTTCTTGTCCCCACCGCGACAAAGAATTGAAGGGCAGAGACACAGTAGTGAAACAGTAAAAGTTTTATTTAAAGTCACTTAAAGAGAGAAAAAGTGCAGGTGACCTCAGAGAGAGAGGAGTGCCCTGAAAGGTTGGGGGTGCCCCCTTTTAAGGATTTTTCAGGAATGATAAAGGGCTGGGGGTGCAGACTTGTTAAGTGGTCTCTGAATATTTAGAGTTAACACAAGAAATTTCCTGCTCTGGTCCCCTCCCAGGATAGCAGCTTCCTGGTTTGAGAGCATATCAATTAAGACTGCCTGCCCAGCCCCCGCAAGGTGGGCTGAGTTACTGTCTGTTCGCTAAAGAGTAAGTTAAGAATCTTACTTCTTAATTTCCTGAGTATTAAAATGCAGTCTTATCTTTAAGATGGAATCCTTCCTGCCTTTTACCATGTTGTTTACCGCTGGGCTTGCAGGCTAAATTAGTTGCCCAAGTTGCATGTTAATTGATTAGGGCTGAAGGAGAAAAAACAGCATATAGATAAAGTTAAAAATAAGCTGGGCCTGCATGATTCACACAATAAAGATGGGCTATGCTGAGGTACCCTCCTTTATCTGGGGAATATTCAAATATTCCAGGCCAAGTTGTTCCTGGCCTTTTGAGCTTTAACTGATTAACTCATTAACTCTGGGTCTTTTTTTGTGGGCTTTCCTGGCCTTATGCTCTTTCCACCCTGCTCATACCTGTTTTCCTACCTAACACAAGTATAGTTGAAGACCGTCAGTGCTTCTGTGATGGGAGCAGCTCTGCATAACTCTGACCTCAAGGCATATTCGTATCATTTGTGAGGTCTACAGTTTTGCTTGGCATTTGTTCTCCTTTGTACCTGCCCTGGGCCATTAGGGAGAGACAGGTGACTAGAGGCTGGACACAGTGGGTAGGAGCTCATTTGAGAAGCGCCACTTCCTGAGAGTCCGTTCCGGATGTGATGTCACCCTGTGGAACTCAGATGGTGACTCACTGGTCTGGATTAAGCTTGTCTTTAAGCTTCCTGCTCTCTCCCCTCCACTTCTGTCTTCTAGCATGATCACCTTCTGTCCCGACTGTGGCAAAAATATCAAAGCAGCATTCAGATTCTGCCCCTACTGTGGGAAGCCTTTGCCTACAGAGGAGCATGAGGAGTCGCAGACCTTTGTCAGGCCGCTGGTGTCATCCTTCCGAGGTAAGGACCGGGTTTTGAGCTTAATCTCAAGGAGGCTTGAGGTGCCTGTGTGCGTGCATTTGGGGAGGAAGGGCAGATGCCTTTGCAGCCTGTCTGGCCCTTTGTTGATACTGGAGAAGCCCACAGCTCAGGCTCTCTAATCTCTTTTTCTTGGCACCTTATCAGTCTCATGGCTTTGACATTGACAGCCTGCACATTTCTGCCTCCAGCCTCGACTCCTCCCCTAAAATCCAGATTCATAGATCTCAGACTGCCTGCTTGACATCTAGTGTGTATTCCGTATGCGTGTGTCTCCATGTGCCCAGAACTGAGCTCCTGGTCCGACTGCCGTCCCCCTTGCCCCTTCCATAGACTTCCCCGTCACTGGACGTGGCTACTCGGTCTACCCGGTGTCCCAGGTGGACCAGGGAGTCATCCTTAAGTCGTCTTTCCCTCCCACCCTGCAACTTCCACCCTCCTGCAAATCTTGTCAGCTCTCCCTTAAAGTCAATGCCAAAACAGACCACTTCCTGCCACCTCCTCTGCCGCCCCCTTGCCCATCCCACCCTCATGTCTCGCTGACCCTGCTTCACGAGCCTTCTTCCCCTGGCCTCCCTGTGTCTTCCTCCCCTGTGGTTCTCTTTACACGGCAGCCAGATGCATCCTGTTAAGTCGAAGACCCTGTCATTCCTGTCACCACCTTCCCTGGTTAGTCCCAGCACGATTGGTCCCCTTGTCTCGGAGCTCATCTCCTAAACCCTTGTCCTTACTTACGTGGCTCCAGCTACCCTGGCCTCGTCACTCTGCCCGAACACCTCAGGCGTGCCTGGGCCTCTGTCTGGGGAGGGCTTCCCTCATCTGCTGCACAAACCCACTTTCTCACTTTCTTCTGGTCTCTATTCAGTTGTTGCCTTCCAGAACGGCCTTCCTGACATCTCTATTTAAAATTGCGTCTTCCTTACAAATGACACTCCCTATCCCTTGCCCTTGCTGTACATTGCCTTTCAGTATTTGTAAGTATCAAATCTATTAAACACAGTGTTTTTCTTTCTTATATTTTTTTCTCACCTTTAAACGCCACAGGACAGGAGTTTACTCTGGTTTGTAAGCTGCTGTGTGCACAGCACCCAGGACTATGCCTGGCATAGAGCTGGATGCTGAGAAATCTTTCTGATTGGCTGACTGAATAAATGAAATATCAGCAGTAGATCCTGACCAATGAAAAGCCCAAGAACGCGGATCTTGCCTTGATAAATTGAAGAGGATTTACTTATAGGAAGGGCACAAAAGGAAGTTGGCTTACAAGGCGGAAAGTTCAGCAACGTTAATTTTATCATTTGGGATTGTGTTTGGCTACAAGTAACAGAAAATGCTACTTAAAGAATTTAAACAAGTGAATGAGCTTATTTTTCTTATTAACAAAAAGCCTGCAGGGGACAGCCCAGTATAGGGATGGTGTCCCCGTGGTACCATAAGGGACCCAAGCTCCTCCTCTCCCCCCACTGAGCCGTCCTTAGTATATGGTTCTTGCTCCCATGCTTACTGCCTGGAGTTTTCAGGATGGCTTCTGTGTCTGTGTCCCCAGCATCATGTCTACGCTCCAAGCAGATGCCAACAGTATTTGCCTTGGCCTGACTTCAGAACCTGAGTTCGTAACCTCACCCTTCCCTAATGCCAACCTAGGGTCCAGTTCATTATGCATTCAGCCAGTCATCAAGCAGTAAATATACCTGGGCCCCTATTGTGTGCTTAGGTGCCATGTTTGACCCTGGGGAGGTGGTGACAGATGAGATGGACATGGTTTCTGGTCTCAGAGTTTTTTGAGGCTAGCGGGACAAACAGACATTGAATAAGCAATTAACAGTGGAGTGCATGATAAAGAGGGGAAATAGATGGGCCGCAGAATACATGAAAGGGGGACTTATTTCTCGAGTGGCCAGGGAAGGCTTCCCAAGGTGGGTAATGTCTGCTTAGACCAAGCAATTATAAGAATTAGCTAATGGGGCGAGGTGGGGGTGTCGGGCAAGAGCTCCAGGCACTGGAGCATGGGCAGGAAAAGACTGAGGGGGGGCCATAATTCATTTTGGAGAAATAAAGAAGGGTACCTTGACCAAGGGCAGACATGCAAGGACTTCTAGACCATGGGCAAGATGATCGGTAATCACTGGTGTGGTAGGGAGCTGTAGAAGGGTTTCTACTAAGTGGGGGACACAATATGATTTGCATTCTGAAAAGACCTCTCTGGCAGCTGTGTGTGGATTGGAGGCACAAAAGCAGTTAGGGGGCCATTCCAGGAGTCCAGGGACCAAACCTGCTGGCTAAGGTGGCGCCACCTAAAAGAAGACTTCTGTTTGCAGCCATATGGCTGACTAGGTGATAGGTAAAAGCCATTTAGGATTCAGCACATCACAAAATGCTAGATAGAATAAAAAGAATATCCTTTTTTTTTTTTTAAACATAGGGCTCAGTGGTAAGAAAGTGAGGGAATTCCATGGAAATGAGAATAAGAAAACACAGGACCCACATGGCTGAGCCAGTGCAGTTGGTGGTGTTGGTCCTGGGCTTCCTGCTGCCATTGGTGGCCTTGAGCCTGGGTTTTGGTGGGTACAGGAGAAAATCTTAGGGCCTGCACTGCGCAGGAGGTGAGACTGGAAACATCCACTAAAATCTGAGACCCCTCAGTGGGTAAACAAGAACAAAAAAACCCTGGTGGAGACATTTGACTGTCTCATCCTTGGTTGTGGGTGAAGAAAGAATGTCCTCTGTGAGAATTCCTAACCAAGAACTCACATCCTCACCAGTTTGGAGCCAGAATTCATACCGATCTGTGTGACCCCAGCAAAACCCAAGCAGATTGGTGTAAAATGATGAGGGTGGGTGATCTTTCCTTGAGGAATACCCGTTAAAGACAAACCTTAGAGAATTCCCATAGACACATGAGTTCCTAGTCAGTCAACAAAGACACCAGGGAACAAGCCACTGTCAGGAGAACCAACCAACTGCAGAATCAGACCTGCAGGGACCAGAGACCTCAGAATTAACAGATGAGACTGTGTTCAGTATTTAATATTATGGGATTAATGTATTATTGAGTATTTCAAAGTCATGTGTACAATCTAATATAATATGGTTCTTTTGCTGGGCAGCTTATTCAGAACCTCCAGACCCATGAATCATGGACAAGAACAGAACAGTCCGACCTCCCTTACATTGTTCTATTGTAGATGAATATCCTTTAGGGACAGTACAGTACGCCCCCGGGGACTGGAGGCTGCCTGGGAACTAAATACAAATTTAGAAAGTGATTGTGTGCTAAGCCCCCACTCGAACCCCTGCGTAGATGTTAAAATTTACTTGCTCAGTAAATATGAGGAGTGGCTTCTTGGCATGGCTCTTGTGCTGCAACAGCTTGAGTCCCCTGGCTGGTCCTTTCAGATCTTCAGCATTTCGTCATGTTCCCTCCAAATCTGTGGGTCAGGAGCAAGGAGGAGCCAACAAATATGTTTAAAGGAATAAAAGAAATTGAAAAATATAATGGACAAAAGTTAGAATTTATCCAGCAGATGTGCAAAGGAACCCAGTGAAACCTGTGGTGTTAAAAACAAGTATAATGGCACTCAAAGACTCATTGGGTGGTTTAAACTACAGACGAGATACAGCTGAAGGGAGAGTACTGAACTGGAAGATAGCCCTGAAGAAATCACCTAGATGAGAGCATGAGTGGCTGAGTGACAGAAGATACAAAACAGAGGCTAAGACCCGTGGAGGAAAGACTAACTAAAATGAAGGAATAGTTTGCTTAGATACTCAGGTAATAGAAGCAGACTTGTGGCTCTAAGGGTCAAAGGGAAGAGTGGTTGGATGTGGCCTCAGGGTTTCTGGTGTGATGGTTCCTGCACAGGGCCTTTGTGATTCCAGTCTGCATCTGGTCTTCCTTTCTCTAGGCTCAAAGAGAGAGAGGAACGCCAGTTCTGAAATCTCTCCTAAGAAAGTGAAATGGTCCAGTGTTGTCACCTGTCCCTCTTCACACCTTCCCTCAGATGGTGACAGTTCTGGGTCTGAAGATATCTTAAGACCCTGTGAGAGACCCAAAGGTGAGAACTGGGGTCAAACTGGCCTTACTCTGGATGGGGAAAGAGCAGGTCATCTGACAGTTTGGGGCTCTGTTCCTGTACTCAGACATCACCTACCGCTGCCTGGGTCTTTGTCCCAACATCCTCACCTACCTCCCAGCCTCCAGTCCATCTGCATGGCCAGAGCTGACCGCCCCCGTCCCTGCTTACTGCCCCCTACTGTGCACCCCCTCCCCAGCCCCACAGACTGAGCTCTCCAGCCTGGTGCCTGAGACTCCTGTCTGCTTCCTGTCTGAGCTCTCACCACAGCCTGGTGCACTGATAACTCACTTTGTGGAGATATTCTTCAGGGTTCTCAGCTTCTGGTCTTTGCTAGGTCTGTTCCCTCAGCCCAAGTGTTCTCACCGCCCTTCCTTGCCCGGCCTGCAGCCACTTTCTCAAAACTCAGAGGGGCAGATCTCTAGGAAGCATTTCCTGAGTGCCACAGGCTGGATAAAGCTGTCCTGTCCCCCGCAGAGCCCCCCTTGATTCTCTTTGTCTGGGCCCAGCGCCAGCGCTCCCCTCGTTGGAGCCCACATCTCCTGCAGGCTCCACGTCCCCTTCTGCCTTGCTGGCCTGAGAATCCTCATGGGCAGGGACCAGGTAGACTCATGTGTGTACGCTCTGTACCAGCCAGTGACCATGGGAGACTGAAGGACTGCCTTCAGGAGGGACTGCCTTCAGGAGGGACTGCCTTCAGGGGGGACTGCCTTTAGGGGGGACTGCCTTCAGGGGGGACTGCCTTCAGGGGGGACTGCCTTCAGGGGGGACTGCCTTCAGGGGGGACAGCCTTCAGGGGGGACTGCCTTCAGGGGGGACTGCCTTCAGGGGGGACAGCCTTCAGGGGGGACTGCCTTCAGGGGGGACTGCTTTCAGGGGGGACTGCCTCCAGGGGGGACTGCCTTTCTCCTCCCCCCCAGGAGCCCGCATCTGGAGTCAGAGCCCGCCGCCTCCTCTTTGCTCCTTGTCACCCCGGGGCTCACTGCCTCTTGCCCTTCTGTGCCTTGGCTGGATGGTGGGTGGGAGGGATGGAGTAGGTAATATCTTTTCCTGGGTCCATGTCTACCTTCTCACCATGCCCCCCTTGCCAGTCTGGGAGCCCCTCAAGGGCAAGGCCTCAGTCTAACAAATGTCTGGGCCTCTTTGATACTCAGCGCAAGGCCGGGATGTCTTCGGCTGACTGTACGGCATGCCTTCCTCCACCCCAGCAAACTTACACTCGCCCATCAAGATCCAGCTCCGCCGCCTCTCGGAGGCTTCCCCTGCCTTCTCCAGGCAGTCGGGCTCTCTCATAGCCCTCTGTACTGCCCTGTCTCAGATTCCATTCTAACCAGCTGTGTCCAGGTCAGCCCACCAAGTTAGGGGCCCCCAAGGGAAGGTCCCAGGTCTAACTCGTGTCCCCAGCTTTGTCACACAAGGACCTGGTCCATGAAGGGTCCCAGGAAACATTTGTTGAAAGAGCAAATGAATAAATGGATAGTATTGTGAGTGTTGTCTCATTACCCGTCCAACTTTTTCTCCTGGCTGCCGCTTTTTCTTTATTCTGGCCATTCTCCTGCAGCGTCCTCAAGCAGACCCCCAACCCCCAGAAGCAGCCCACAGGCAACCAGGCAAAGCCCCCAGACACTGAAGCGGAGCCGGGTGACCACCTCGCTGGAGGCTTTACCCGCAGGAACAGTGCTGAAAGACAAGAGTGGGCAGTACTGGAAGCTGGGATCCCTCCAGACGAGGGACGAACAGGGCATTCTCTATGAAGGTACACTGTGCACATGGGGGAGGACTGGGATGCCTGGCCGTCTTGGAGCCAGAGGAAGGAGGGGAGCTCCTTTCTGAGAATGAAATGGAAACTATATCCTGGCTGCAGACCTGCCTCTAGGCAGCTTTCTCTTTGACTTGGAACTATGGGGGCCAGACAGAGTATATGAGTGGAGGAATCTGGGTGGGAGGCAACTGGGAATGGTGGGGACTGTGACCCACTGGAGAGCATGTGCCCTGTGCAAAGAGGGCGCCCTTCTTCAGCTCCCCCTCCTGTTGTCGTGTGAGAGTGCAGGCCCAGTGATAAGGCAGCTGTTGATTATTCCATCTGCCCTCAAATCATTCTATCTGCAGAAATAGGATGGGCCTCCCCTACAGCGCCATGTTTGGTTTGAATATTGAGATGGCATTCCCAGAGGTGGGCTGGGGCAACAAGTCCTTCTCCAGTGGGGGATCCACACCCATCATGTAGTACTTACCAGATATGTAGACAAACGTGTAGCTGGAGTGTCAGGGGTCCCTAGGACCAGCCCTGGTTCAGTGATTCGCTAGCAGGACCCACAGGCCTCAGCATATAGTAGCACTCACATGATTCATTAGAGCAAAAAGACACAGCAGTCAGCAAAGGGGGAAGGTACGTGGGGTGAAGTCTGGGGGAGACCGCCGCCAGCTTCCAGAGTCCTCTCCCCTTGGAGTCACACAGGATGCGCAACAAGGTGTGACAACGTGTGACATGTTTGTGCCAGTGACACTTGTTAGAGACACAGCACCCAGGGTTTTACTGGGGGCTGGTCACATAGGTACCTTCTGCCTGACTCCAACCCAAACGCCAGACTCCCAGCAGGAAAGCAGGTGTTCAGCACGACAGCCACAGCACAGGGAGCGACTGTGGTTGGTTAGGGAGGGCTGAGCCCCCCTGAAATCCAGGCTCCCAGACAGCCAAGGGCGGCCGGCAAGCAGGCCTTCCCACGGAGAGCGGTCAGCCTGCTGTGTTAGTGACCCTTTTTGCATAGCTGGGTAGTAACAGAGAGAAAAAAAAAGAACCTGTTTGAAAGCAGGAAGGAGCAGGTCTTGAAAGCCCGGAGTGCACTTGACCCTGGGAGAACCAGAGAACCGGAACCGCTGCTCTTTACTGGGATGTTTGGGGACGATGACTCGCCTTCCCTGTAGATTGTGACCACACTCATTTTGTCGGCCCACAGCTGAGCCCGTCTCCACCTTGGCCTGCAAGTCAAGTGCCCAGAGACAAAGATTCTCACTTAAACTAGTGAGTGTCCCTGATGGTGGGGGAGAGGGGTGCTGGGGCTCCAGCAAGTGTGCCATTGGCTGCAAGCCCCTCTGTGCCGTGGGGAAGGCGGGGGAGCGCAGCCTTGGCCTGCGAGGCGCAGTGGGACCTCGGGTGGGACGCTCGTCTCCCTCTGGGCCTCAGGTTCTTCCTCCCATGGGGCCCCTCCGAGGCTGTGGTCAGGTCCACCCTGAGCCCTGGCTCTGAGACTTTCTGGCTGTGGGATGTGGGCGAGCACCTCCCCTCTCAGAGCTGAGTCACCTCATCTGACTGGGAGCCAGTAACACCCACACTGGGTTTCTCCCTAGGATGCCAAGGATGGGCGCTTGTTCAATGAGCAGAACTTCTTCCAGCGGGTTGCCAAGCCTTTGCAAGGTATTCCACGGGGAAGTGGGCAAGCGGGAGAGAGCGGGGGGCAGCCTGAGCCAAACAAGTAGCTCTTCCCTGAAGGCGTGGAAAGAGGCGGAGGATGAAATTAAACGCCCAGATTTGTTCCTGTCACCTCTTGGACCTCAGGCCCCAGAGGAGAAACAACATGGGCTGAGGCCGCTCGTACCAGCTCTTGAGAGCTGAGTATTAAATTTTCAGAAATAACCACAAGCCAGTTGTTGACCATAGCCATCATTAAAAATTAATTACATCAACTTACAATTAAATAAATTACACTAAGAACAAGGGTAAAAAATACTCAAAAATCATCACTTCCTAATGATTTGTCTACCTTTGCTATTATCTGTTCTCTTGAGGTTGTTCACGTTCATTGTTACCTGTATGGCGAAAATGCTGTATAATGGTGTACTGCCGCATCTCTTCCCAGCCCCACGTCCCATGGTACATTGTACAGTGGTAGCTTGAACGGGGCCATGGTAGGAAGGGTTCACACTACGGAAATCAGCAGACATTACAATCAGAGCTGTTTGTCCCTGGACAGCCAGTTAACTTTTATCAGCACACCCCTGGATCTATACCGTCCAGCTGAGATCCTGGAAGATGGGCAGACATCCAGTGACACCAGGACCAGGCTGGACATGTCCTGATCTTAGTAGCTACACATGTGAATTCAGAAGTTAGTCTGCTATTCTTACCCTTCCGCTCACTGCAGACTTGTATATGCTTTCTTCTGAGTTCACCCTGTCACCTGTAGATACAGATTACAGGCATTCAGGGGTCCACCACGCTTACCCTGTCACCACCACCTTCGCTGTTACCCACCCACAGAGACTGTGTCTCTGACTAGGAGACTTGGGTCTGGCCTGGGCTTGGGAGCTCTGCTTCTGGTCTAAGAACAGGCTGTTTTCCATCGAGGGCCTGGGAGCAGGAGGGCCCTAACCTCTCAGGTGCCTGCTTCCCACAGTGAACAAATGGAAGAAGCTGTGCTCCGCCCCCCTACTGGCCATCCCCACCTGTGTAGGTTTTGGCGTTCACCAAGACAAGTACAGGTAAGTCGCTTCACTTGCCACCCAGCTCTCTGGCCCCCTTTTTTCTTTCCCTGTCATGCGCCCAGGCATAGCTGGGACCCCAGAGCCATTGACCAGATAGTTGCTTCCTTCCTTTCCCTGGCTATGAGCCGGGCTGAGCCCCCACCAGTCAGAACCCCTTTCTCCTGGGACCAGGACCTTGTAGCCACCCAGCCGCAGTCCATCCTGATGACCTGTCTTCCACCACCTCTCTGGTCATTTCTCCCACCTCCTGAGTTTCTCGTGTCTTCCAGGTTCTTGGTGTTCCCCATCCTGGGGAAGAGCCTTCAGGCAGCCCTGGATGACAACCCGAAGCATGTAATATCAGTGAGGTCTGTGTTCCAGATAGCCTGCCGGCTGGTATGTACCTGAGAGTTACTGGCTCCCATGCAGGGGATGGCACACAGGGTCCTGGTTTATTAGTCTATCTGTTCATTGACGACTTCAACCTACGCCTGCCTCTGCTGGCCACTGGGGCTAGCACATTGGCTGGCACAGGTGAAAACAAGGGTCACAGGGTACATCGAGCAACCTTTGGAAGGTAATTTGGATACAGCAGTCAAAGTTTAAAATGCCACTAGAACCCGAGTGATGAGCGTTATCATGAGGGCCTTCAAGAGGCCATGGGAGTTGGAGGAATGGGCCCCCGCCTCAAACTGAGGGTTGTGCTTCCCGGTAGGGGTTTTTCTAAGCCAAGAGTGGGAAATGCCAAGGTGTCGGGTGGAATGGGAGCGGAGATGCATGGGGAGAATATTACAGGTCAAGGGTATAGCTAGGGTGAAGGTTTGTATGGGAGACACAGCGTATGGCATTTGTTCTTCATCCAGCCTTTTATTAAAACTTTACCAGGTCATGCTGAGTGTCGGACACTGTCCTAGGGGCTGGGAGTACATTGGGGAACAGCACAGACGTGGTTTTTATGTCTAGTGGGAGAGGGTGATATTAAACAGTTGCACAAATTATGGGAATTGCTCTGAATAGAAATGTCTGAATAGAATAAGAGGACCCAGTTTAAATTGTTGGAGGGATGGAAGTGGCAAAGGAGCGATGTGTTGGGTGAGTCCTGAAGGTCTTCATGCTCTGCGTCTACAGTGGGTCATGCGGAGGGGAAAAGGGCAAGAGATGAGGTTGGTGTGAAGAGGTCAGCAGGGACCAGATTACACAGGACCTTGTGCACCACGCCGAGGAACAGGGCCTCTGTCCTGAGGGCACTGGGGAACCAAGGGAGCATTGGAAGCAGGCTCAGCTCTGAGTGCAGACTGGCTCTTTGGGCTGTGTGCGGATAGATGGGAGGGAGAGGGCGACATGGAGGCCGAGGGAGGTCATTGTGAAAGAGGACAAGGCTGAGGAGGGGCTAGACTATGGGGCCGGAGCGTTTGTGACACAAGCAGAACTTGGTAGACAGGTAAGCCTTGGAGTCGAGGGGAGCTTGGCAATGTAATCACGATGTAACCAACATCTAAGCAGTTCAGTGCATCAGGCTAGAGTTCAGAGGAAAAGTCAGGGCTAAAGTTAAAATTTTCAGTTGCTTAAGCTCTACAGGAGAAATGAGAAGGGCTCTTTGATGTACTTGGATGCTGGAGGTTTTTTTGGCAATAAGTAACCAGTATCTTCCCTTCCTGAGTTTGCCGTCAACAACAACAAAAAAATAGGTACAAGAGATAGTTGCAAAACCAACTATTAGCTCGAATGCTGGATTTTTTAGAAGCCTCATTAGAATTCACACTTAGGTGTGCTGTCAGAGTGAGCTTCCTAATGCTTCACTCAATTAGGCTCAAACACCCCCCATATCCCTCCAGTTACAAGCAGCATATGATCCCAGGCCTAACAGGACACTGGGCTTTGCATATTCATGCTGCCCATGGAGATGCTTTCTTTCTACTCCCAGCTGGATGCCCTAGAGTTCCTCCATGAGAATGAGTATGTTCATGGAAATGTGACAGCCAAGAATATCTTCATGAATCCAGAGGACCTGAGCCAGGTAATAGCCCACCTCTGCCCACCATGGAGACTTTCTGGGGTCAAGATCTTATTATCTAGATGTTTCAAAACCTCCATTCATTTTACAATGCTTATTGCAGACAAAGAATTGCTATCACATATAAAGAGTTCCCTTGAATAAATAAGAGATATACAACTTAGTAAAAAAAATGGACAAAGGATAGGAAAAACAGTTCTTAAAAGAGAAATCCATAGGTTAGTTAAATATATGAAAGGATGCTCAACATCCCTAATAATCATAGAAATGAAAATTAAAACATTCTATTTTTCACCTTTTCGGTAGATAAAATTTAAAAGAATGATAATATCTGTTGCTAATAAAGATGTAAAGGAACAGGAATTCTTTATATACTGTTGGAAAGGTAAATCAAGTGACCCTTGCAAGGTAATTTGGATATAGCAAAGTTTAAAATGTAAATATTTTTGATCCACCAGTTCCTGTTTTAGGAATATATCCTATCCATGTATTCATAAAACTGTTAAAAGATGTATTTGCAAAATGTTCCTGACAGCACTGGCTATAATAGTAAAATGAGAAAACCTTAAAAATATACTCCTGGTAGGGTACTGATTAAATAATATTTTAAAGTAAGTTTTAATTATTCTTTCAGTTGCAAATGAAACAAACTAGTTTAACATGGCTTAAACAAACAAACAAAAATGCTTAAAAAGGCAGGATGGGGGATGTAATGTATTGGTCCATGGAGTGGAAAAAATCAGTTTCCACTTGTTTCAGGCATGACTTGGCTCGTTTCAGGCATGGCTGAATCTAGGAACACAAGCCCTGTCATTAAGGAGCAGGCTGTTCCATCTCTGGCTCTTCTTGTTTTCACATTGCCCATTGCCAGGCAGAGTCTCTTCCCTCATGGTAACAAAATCACTGCCAGTAAATCATCCTTAAATCCCCTCAGCAGCCCCAGTGGAAGCAGATCAGGTGAGCTTCACCTCAGTCACACGGGCTGAGAGTCAGAGAGGGGCGATCCTAGGGGAAACCCTGGGACTATATTAGAGCTGTCCAGCAAAACAGAGCCAACAGAATGGGGTGCGTGTGTGTGTGTGCGCGCGTGCGTGTGTGTGCGTGTGTGTGTGCGTGCGTGTGCGTGTGTGCGCGCATGTGTGTGTGTGTGTGTGCGTGTGTGTGCGTGCGTGTGTGTGTGCGCGCGCGCATGTGTGTGTGTGCGCGCATGTGTGTGTGTGCGCGCGCGTGTGTGTGTGTGTGTGCGCGCGTGTGTGTGTGTGCGCGTGCGTGTGCACATATACATATATACAGAGAGAGGTTTAGTAAGAGAATTGTCCTGCATGATTATGGAGGCTGAGAGTCCTAGATCTGCACTTGGCAGGCTGGAGATGAGCTGATGGTGTGCTTCCAGTCAGATTACAGAGGCCTGAAAACTAGGAGAGATGATACACTAGGTGTAAGTTCCAGTCTGAAAGCAGGGGGGTGAAGAGCCAGTATTTCAGTTCAAGTCCAAAGGCAGGAAGAGTGAAGTTCCAGCTCCCTGGTCAGTCAGGAGGCATTCCCTCTCACTCAGCCTCTCTGTTCTATGCAGGTCTTCAACTGATTGGATGAGGCCCACCCGCACTAGGGAGGGCAGTCTGCTTTACTTATTTAGTCTTCCTATATAAATGTTAACTCATTCAGAAACACCCTCACAGACATACCCATAATAACACACCCTATGACCCAGGCAGGTTGACATATAAAATTAACTGTGGCAAACAGACAAGAAGACAAGGATGTAGTTCTCACATGGACAAAACCGACAGTGTCCACTACTCATAAGGCAGAATAAGATACAGACAGAAAGCAGATGCGGTTAACTGTGTGTGTCAAGAGGTTAAGCACTTTTTGTTTTAAACTGAGGCTTATAACCCTGCAAGCTGGGAACTATTGTCTTCATTTTACAAATGGGAGACATCAAAGCACGGAGGAGTTTCATACCTTGTGCAGGTCCTGTGGCCACTGAAAGGCCGAGGTGGCATGTGAACCTGATCTTATCTAGCTTCAGAGTTAACTGCCCTGAACCACTGACGTGCAAAAGCTGGGCGCCCAGCAGGAGGTAAAGAGTGACCCCTCTATGGGAAACTAGAGCCCCCACCATCCACGCGGAGTTACTGACGATTTAAAAGAAAATGATTTGAAACAACACATAAGAAACTATTAGTGGTTAATTCTAAGCACTGGGGTTAGGGGGCTGGGGAGTGATAAGGATGGTTGGTTTGGGTTCTTTTCACCTTACACCCTTCTGTATTGTTTGGGTTTTGGTTGTTTCACATAGTTCCAATGACTGAAATCTCTGACTCCAGAGCCCAAGCTCCTAACCTCCAGACTGTGCAATTCTCCCCACATGCACACAGGTGGTCCTGGGAGGCTACGGCTTCGCCTTCCGCTATTCCCCAGGCGGCAGACACACGGCTTACGTCGAAGGCAGCAGGAGCCCACACGAGGGAGACCTCGAGTTCATTAGCATGGACCTGCACAAGGGATGTGGTAAGAAGCTAGAGAAGGGGTTCAGGACTATGGAGACATGTTTGTCATACAGACAGCAGATGGCCAGACGCTGGAGTCACTCTTGGTAAGGGAGCCATGATGGATTCAGAACCATGGATAGCGGCCCTGCGCATAGGGATTGTGGGACAGCGGTCTAACACCAAGGAGAGCAGGCAGCTGGGCCCAAGGATGGTTCAGATTCAGAATCCGGTGTAGACTTGGAAATGTGAAAGTTACCCAGGAGAGGCTGCCAAGGAAGCAACTGGCTGTCCATGTCTGGAGCACAAAAGTGAAGTCTCTGGGCGGAGATGCAGATGTTGGCTGTATCTCAGGAGTTGTCAGCTGAAGCCTGGGAAAAATGAGAATGTCTGAGGACAGTGTACAGAATGAGAGGGGAGCAATTTGAGAAGATTCCTTGAGGAAGGCTCAGCTTCTGTTTCCCAAATTGCTCAATATCGTGGCCACCACGTGCCTACCGGCATCTTCTCATCGACTGAGCATCATCAGGTGGCATGTCTGGCAAAGTCAGCTCTCAGTGTTCGTTGAATTTTATGTGAATTGTTGTCTATATCCTGTGATTTAGGAAATGTAAGAAAGATCAAACAGCACAGTCTCCTCTGCCCTTTCCTGCTGAGGCTGGGTTCAGTGTCCATCCTGGGCTCCTTCATGCCCTGTTCTGGCTCCTCTGTGCCTTAGGTAGTCTCACACTATAACTGTCTCCCCGCTAAACTCTCAAAGGCTTGGATCCAACCAACTCTTCTGGGGTTTAAGAATGTGGAGTGAAGTAAGGCTCACCATCATCGAAAAGACAAACAACAACAAATGTTGATGAGGTTGTTGAGAAAGGGGAACCCTCCTGCACTGCTGGTGGGAATATAAATTAGTTCAACCATTGTGGAAAGCAGTATGGAGGTTCCTCAAAATGCTCAAAATTGACATACCATTTGACCCAGGAATTCCACTTCTAGGAATTTATCCTAAGAATGCAGCACTCCAGTTTGAAAAAGACAGATGCACCCCTGTTTCTCGCTGCACTATTTACAATAGCCAAGATATGGAAACAACCTGAATGTCCATCAGTAGATGAATGGATAAAGAAGATGTGGTACATATACACAATGGAATATTACTCAGCCATAAGAAAAAAGCAGATCCTACCATTCACAACAGCATAGATGGAGCTAGAGGGTATTATGCTTAGTGAAATAAACCAAGCGGAGAAAGACAAGTACCAAATGATTTCACTCATATGTGGATATAAGAACAAAGGAAAATTGAAGGAAGAAAACAGCAGCAGAATCACAGAACCCAAGAATGGACTAACAGTTACCAAAGGGAAAGGGACTGGGGAGGATGGGAGGGAAGGGAGGGATAAGGGCGGGGAAAAAGAAAGGGGTCATTACGATTAGCATATATAATGGGGGGGCATAGGGAGGGCTGTGCAACACAGAGAAGACAAGTAGTGATTTTACAGCATCTCACTACACAGATGGACAGTGACTGAAGGGGTATGTGGGGGGGACTTGGTGAAGGGGGGAGCCTAGTAAACATAATGTTCTTCATGTAATTGTAGATTAATGATACAAAAATAAAAAAAATAAAAAATAAAAAGAATGTGGGGTGGGGCCTGGCACACAGGGTGAGGACATGTGGAATGAACTGAGTGTGTGAACACAAGACAGTGAATGAGGGAGTGAGCTAGTGAAAGCAGGGACAGAGTGATGGCTGAGAGAGTGTGAGTGAGAGGGAAGGGATAGACGAGGCTCCACATGTTTGGATGGCTGAGTGTGACAGAAAGGACGGGGTGGACACATCAGTGAGTGGAGCTTCAGGACTGAGCCACCACCCCCTTCCCTCCCCACCCAGGACCGTCCCGCCGCAGCGATCTCCAGACCCTGGGCTACTGTTTGCTGAAGTGGCTCTATGGTATCCTGCCGTGGACAAACTGCCTTCCCAGCACTGAGGATATCATGCAGCTGAAACAGAAGTGAGTCGGGGTCAGCAGAACCCAGCACTGGCCTGGTGCCCCTGCAAGTGGGCCAGACGCTCAGAACCCAACAGGGAACAGAAAGGGGGAGGTGGCGTCCAGCAGAGCCAAGGCCCCTGCAGGTCTCAGCCATGTGCTCTGTCATCCATTCCAGCAGATGAGTGTGGCCTCTGGAGCAATGCTGCCTGGAGTCAGACCCCGGCCCCACCACCACAGGGTGTTAGGTGGGCAGCTTACCCTCTGCAAGCCTCAGTATCCCCCATGAGATGGGATCTGATCAGTACCCACCTTGGGGCTACAGAAGGATTCAGGGGAGTCAGGTACACAGCACCCAACACAGCCTGCCTATAGAGAATGTTCACTGTGTGCAGGACACCATGACTCATTTATTTCTTCCCAGACACGTGAACAACCTGAGCAGTTAGGTCTGGGCCCTGCCTCAGCATCTGGCAACACAGCCACACTTCCCCTCCCTCACCTCTGCGTGTGAAACCACTAGATCTGCTAGTTCCAGGTTAAACATTCAGTACCAAGCCCAGGGGTGCAAAGGGAAGTGCTGGGGGTGCGCTTCAGCACCAAGGACAGAGGGCAGCTGGCCTCATGGGGCTTTGCTCTTCAGCACGGAAGATAGCAAACAGCACACAGGCAAGCTCTGCAGGTCCATGGGTTGGGATTCAAGATCTGGTGTAGACTTGGGGGCTGAGAGCTGGCAGGAGGCCGTCCTGGAGATGGCTAGCTATCCACGTCTGCAGTGCAGCAATGAAGTCTAGATGGAAATTCAGACCCCAGCGGTATCTGAGTTGTCACTGGAAGCCCTGGGAGAGGGTGAGATGATCCCGAGGACGTGTGCAAAGTGGGAAGAGGGACAACTGTTGAGTGCACAGCACCAACTCCTTCGTATTTCTCAGTTCTTAGTGCAGTGTCACTAGTTCATGTGGAGCCTCCCTCACTTCATTTCTTCTCTCAACTGTGGACACCCACCTCAACATAGTTAATATATGTTCTGCTGATACGTTTGCTTGAGTGTATTTGTATTCTTACACTTGCATGGTGGTGGTAGTACTTATGTGTGTTTGAATTGCTTAAACAGAATTTTGCTCTAATTCTCACCTGTTTCTGGCTTTTTTCACTCAACACTTTGATCTTCAACTTTATCTGCATCATTACATGTGTGTCGAGTTCACTGTTTCTGATGACTGCTTTCACATAAGTGTGGCAATCTCTGTGTCCTTGAGCAATGTATGATTTAATTTGCATAAATTTCATGATGTTCTTTCAATGCTACAATTTTGAACTTAGCTACACTGTTAGTTCACTACGTCTGAATGCTTCTAAATTTGTTTAGATATATTTGTGCCCTTGAAAAATATGTCAGTTTGATGTGTGGTTGACATAAATGGCACCATGTCCTGAAATGAATCTTATTCTCCTTCAAATTTCAGCTTGTCGTTCCCAACAGCCCTTCCCTCACCCCCACTGCATCAGGCCTCTTTGCTTGTACACGCTCAAAGGAAGGGATTTTCCCCTGCCACATTGGCCTGCTTGTGTTGACCTGTTCAAGGCTAATGTTCAAGGCTAATGTTTATCATATCTTGTCTGTGCCAGGCTAATGTTTATCATATCTTGTCTGTGCCAGCACTACACCCAGTGTTTCCCAGTGTCATCCTGAGAACAACCCTGACTGAAGTCAGCGCTCTCTGAGGCACAGAGATTAGGTAATGAGCCCAAATCACAGGTGGCACTGGAGGGGTGGCTCTTATCATTGATGGCACTTGGGTGCAGCCTTCCTCCACTCTTCAAATACCTATTTTGCACCTGCTACTCACCAGGCTGTGTTGTGGGCCCTGGGGACCCAGGAATAACTAAGACAAACATCACTGCCCTCAGGGAATCTGAAGCTTAGTTGGGGAGACAGTAAAGAGAGCAAGCATGAAACACAGCAGGTCAGAGGTCATACTGGCAGGGTGTCGTCAGAGACCTGAGTACTCATCAGTGAGACTGTCAGCATGTGCCCGTGCTGCTCCTTAGATTTCATGAATAGTCAGGGCAGGTCTCATGACAATGGTGAGCGGTGAATCACCTCCAGAAGGACAGAGAGGCATGGATGTCTCACTGTATCACCGCTATACCCTTCACATCTCTGCCAAAGGAGGGAGGGACAGAGAGGCCCTCGGCTGCCAGGCTGCCATAAGCAACCTCTGCATCAAAAGCCAGTCTCAGAACCACCAGAACATGAGCCCATTTCCCTGTTTTCTTGGAATTTATTTTTGCATTTATTACCTAGTTTTTTAGTAGTTTTCCATTTTTGAAATGAAACTAGGTAAAAAACAAGCCTCAGAATCAGTAACACGGATGGTAGAAGCATATGGCCCAATTGCTAAAGCATCAGGCGTGGCTGAAGTTTGAATGGCCCCTTCGTGCGCCCCTTGTGTTAGGTAGGGGTAAGGCTGAGCTGCTCTTACAGGATATCCCACAATGCTGTGGCTCAAAAAAAGATAGATGTTTACCTCTCTCTCACTAATAGTCCCAAAGAAGGACTGAGCATGGCAGGGCGTTTCACCACCTTCATACATCACCCTTCTGCGCGTGCTGCCATGTCCCATTGCCTTTAAAGGGCAGGACTGGAAATGACATGCACCTCTTGGTCATATAACCACCCCAACCTGCATGAGGGCTGGGAAATGTCTCCCAACTGTGGCTGCTGACCTGGCTGATTCTGCCAGTAAAGGGGACACCAGAAACAGACCCTTCCACAATGCCACCTGTAATCAAATCGCCAAGGGCAAAGACCACAGCAGCTCTCTCTATCATTGTGTTGTTCAAAGTAGGGTGCTTGGCATGTTGTGGGAGCCCGTGAAATAGTTCTAGAATGAATGAATGATAAAGGAATGAATGTGTGAGCCTTCACTCACAGGCCTAGGCCTCTGTGTGGACACACAGGTTGGGCAGACATGCACCACCCTTGCAGGGCTCCTGGGCTTGGGGGAGACACACAGAGGCAGGAAGCAGATGCTGCATATATGAGGGTAGAGGCAGTCCCAGGGCACTATGGCAGCAAAGGGTAGGCACATGACCTGGCCTTGGGCCGCTGGGAGCCTTTACCCGAGAAATGCCTGCCCTGTTCTGTGGAGAGCAAAGGAGTTTCCCAGGCAGGCAAGGAGAGACAAGGTTTCTAGGCAGATAGGATATTGCATATCTGCACTCTCCATTCATTCATTCATAACCTTTTCCTGCGGGCATCTATGTGCCAGTCCCAGTGCTGGGAAGTGCTGGAGCACCAGAAGTGAATGAGTTGTGAACACCTCCTGTCAGTGAAACCATCACTGGGGCTTCGCTGGGTCAAGCCCTCCCCTCCCCTGGCTTCCTCTGACTCCTAAGAACAGTACTGTCTCTCTCTCCATCTCTGTCCCACCTTCCCCTTCACAAGTGTGATAGGTGCTTCACTAAGAGACTGCATTCACCAAGCTGGTAAAGAATACATAAAATTGGTCCTAGTAATCATTTTAATATCTATTTCAGTGTGAGAAACATTTCATCCCAAAGCCCGTGATCCTAACCATGACCACAGAGGGAGGATCAGGAGATGCCCCACAGGGAAATGGTGGTGGTGGTGCCTGGGTTACCTGTAGACTCCTCCAGCCCAGCCACCGGATGACTTGAGGCAGGAACCAAAAGGACCACGAGGGGGTGATGTTGCCACGCACATTTGCTGGAACCCTAACTTGCCCTCCCCAGGACGTGGCCTTCTTCCATTCATTCAACAAATACTCACTGTTTAATACATTCTAGTTCATGACGGAATGAATGAATAAAAGACAGTTTGATTCCCAAAGCGTTTTGGTGCACAAGGTCCCCTGCTGGGAAAGCACAGAGAGAGCTGGATTTGGTCCCTGCTCCTAAGGCTGCTGGCAGGCAGGGAGGTCCCACAGACACAGGCGGCCAACAGCGGAAGAAGTGCTGATGCAACTGACAACATACGAATGGCACAGCCCTTCAGTGCCGTCACGCCTGAGGCTGTGAAGAAATGGAGGGCCTGGTTCTTCCTGTATATGTATCTTGACAGTTGCTGTAGGGCATCCGTGGCCCCAGGCACTCCGAGGGATGGATCTCTTCTGCCTGGGGGAGTCAGCAGGAGGCTCCCAGGAGACTAACCCTTGAGCCATGTCTAGCAGGGAGAGCAGGTCAAGGTGGGGAAAGGCCATCCAGGGCAGAGGGAACAGTATGTGCAGAGTCTGGGGGTTGTGAATGGCCGCTTAACCTCGTTGGAGGACCAGGAGTTTGCCTGAGATGAAGGGAGGAGGTCAGGGCGACCGAGTCAGAGGGGCTGGCAACCTTGTGCACCAGCGATTTGCCCCAAGGCTCTGGCGAGCCTGGGAAGGGCAGGGTCAGCTCTGGGTCTATGTGGGGGGTGCAGAGAGAATGGAGGAGGCCTGAGCTGAGCCCAGAGGCATGGACAGAGCAGGGATGGGGCAGTGAGGGTTGGAGAGCTGGGGGACGGGGCTTGGGAGATCCTGGTTTGTGGTAGGGAGAGGTGAGGGCAGCACCCGTGACTGGGTGTGTTAGGGAGCAGTTTGGTTCAGTGACGCAGAGAAGCTGAACAGAGCGAAACTGAAGTCAAGGAAGTTAAAGCAAACAGGGTTATTATACTCTGTAATAGAGTGGGCCCCAGCCTGATGCCAGACAGGCCATGAGTACTGGGGAGAGTTCCTTTTTACGGAGTTTTCAAGGGATTTTTAGGAGGGATAGTGTCATGCAAACAAGTGTTGATTGGCAGGCTAGCAGTGATGTAAGCTAATTTTTACTATAAATGTTCTTTCCCAGAATTCTCCCTGATTGCCCACCAATGGGGGGCTAAAGCACAATGCAGATTTATTTTAATGACTTTATAATGAGGAAAGGTCATTTTAGGACCCCCCAGGAACAGGCCCAGTTGGTCTCTAGCTTGTGGAATTTCTCTGTGGTTTTTCACTCCTCCTGCTGGGGATTTTCTCATTGGCGGAAGCTATCTGTAGTCCCGACCTCTCTGTGGTCAGCCTGACCTCTCCTGCTGCTTACCTCTGGCTTCCTGCCTGACAGGTGGACAGTGGGTAGCCGCCTGGTGGTTCAGGCCAGAGAAGATGCAGTGGGCTGGGACTCGCAGGATGGAACAAAGGAAGTGGACAAATTTCGTTTTTCCTGAGTGGTCCAAGAGGAGTGTGTGTGTATAAATATATATGTGAATAGTCAGTCCATCCTCATTATTTAGATGGTGTATTTGTACATTTGCCTATTCACAAAGTTGTATTTGTAACCCCAAAGTCAATGCTCACAATGTTTTCAAGGTCGTTCTCAGACACACGTGGAGAGGAGAAAATCTTGAATGGCCTGATGCATATGGTCTCAGCTGAAGTCGAGCCACGGACTCTGCCTTCTCATTGAAGCTCTTACACTACAAACAATTGTCCCTTATGTGGACTGTTCAGTGCCACATTTTCCAAATTTGTGTGGATATTTTTTTTTGGTCATTTTGCTGTTTACAGCAGCCCCACGCATAGTGCTGAGGTGCTGCCTCGGGATCCCAAGCGCAGTAAGGCTGCAACACGCCTTATAGAGAAAATACGTGTTAGACGAGCTCCTTCAGATACAGGTTGTAGTGCTGTTAGGCAGTGTCAGTCAGTCAACCTTACATTAAACGAGGCGTCTTTAAACACAAAACACACATCAAACAAAGTGTTGTACAGATCAGTTAATGAAAACCTTGTGACTGGAGGCTCACAAGAAACTAATGCTATGTTTCTCCTAAAAGCATGGTCCAGAATTTGCTAATTCAGTGTTCGTGGCAAAACTATTGACCATAACTGCTGCAAATAACAAGAATCCACTGCACATTTACCAGACATTTTGTTTTAAAAACCTGCTCTCCCTTCCCTTAAAGGCCTTTTGCATGTACCTCTGTCCTGTCAGGTTTCTTGACAACCCGGAGGCCCTGGTGGGACAGTGCAGTCGCTGGATCAGCCCCTCAGGTATGTCCTCAAGGGGGAGGGAACGGGCGGGGCCGTGGTGGGACCCAGCAGCGTGGTCTCTGTTCACCTCTCTCTCATCGTTCTTTGAGTTTGCCAAATTGCATGTGCATATGTGCCCATTGTAGAAAAACAGAAAACTTCCACCACAAAATTCAGAAGTGTCTCCGAACAATAATGACACACACACCCACACACATCCCAGCAAGTCACAAGGCCGGCCCAGACTCCACCTCACGCGGGGAGAAGCAGCAAAAAGCGTCGCAAAGCGGGGGGAGCATACAGGGGTGGGAGGGGCTGTGGCCAGTCGCCGCAGTCTCCCACTTGCTCTGGGTGTGTAGCTAACAGATAAACAGCAAACATGCTTACATGGTTTTGTTCTACAGAGCCATTGTGTTTGCAAAACTGTTACTATTAAAAAAAAATAGGCGCACCCTACATATGTTTTAGTCAGTACTTTGCTATTGTCAGTAATTAAGACCTAGGGCCGTTCTGCGGTGTTACTCAGGAGATCCAACCCAGCCTGTCTGAACAGCGGCACACTGTGCGTGATTTAGCCAACCCGTCATTTTGAAGGCCACTCCCGATTACTGCGGATTTAGGCTCTTCTTTGTTTGGGGGTGTTTTGTTTTTTTCAGTGACCCTTCTGTAGAACTTCTACATTGCTCTGTAAACACAAGGCAGAAAGACAGAAATGGATAATCTGCCCCCCTCCAACTATGTAAGGGCTTATTTTTTTAATTACCTGAAATCCCTGGGTTCAAATCGTGGCTCTGCTGCTCAAGTCACTGTCCCTTGGGTTCTCATTCAAAGAAGAGCACCCGAGAATTTACTGCCGCTGGTAGATCCTCAGCGGGTCACCAGGAGGTGGCGCTGGGGGCGGGGCCGGCCCTCCTGGGGACAGAGACCAGCCCCGAGTTCTGTGGTTAGACCTGCGCACAGCCAGGGAACTTGCAGTGGGTGGATGTGCCCCCTCTGAACCTCAGCTTCCCCGGGTGTAAAATAGGGGCTGTGAAACTTCCTCTGAAATTCAAGCTGCAGCGCCCATACATCAGCTTGTCTTGGCACTCAGCCTGGCGCCTTCGCTTTCATGTGCTCGGTGGCTGCTGCTGTGCAAGAACCGCTGAGTCGAGTCCTGGCCCTGCAGACACCGGCTACTCCACCCCGCTCCTGGCCCGGAAAGCCGAAAATACTTACTCTATGGCACTTTACAGCAAGTTTGCTGGCCCCCATTTTCCTGTGGGATATACACTAAATAGTCACACAGGTGAAATGATACAAGCTGGGCTCTGCTTTCAGCAACACGGGGGAGGGAGTGGCAGCAGTTTCAGTGACGCAGGACTGGCTGTAGTTGATCCTTACTGGTGAAACCGGGTGACGGGTACCGTGGGGTTCATGATCCCCTTCTACTGCTGCGTGTTTGATGTTCTCCCTCACAAAATGTTTTCAATCAAAGTGCCTAAGCAGTGCCAGGTACAGGGGAGGCACTGAGAAGAGGGGCACCTTGGTCAGTCAAGACCCCCCCCCCGGGCATGGCCCCCAGGCTCTGAGGCCTCTCCTGTGGTGGGGCTGTTGGCCACAGAGACCCTGCAGGAGTACCTGAAGGTGGTGATGGCCCTCACGTACGAGGAGAAGCCACCCTACGCCACGCTGAGGAGCAGGCTGGGAGCCGTGCTTCAGGATCTGCGCGTGTCCACCTACGACCCCGTGGACCTCCAGAGGGTGCCGTAGGTGGGTGCTGGTGGGTACAGTTTGGGCCCGCCCCCCACCCTGCTTCCCAGATGCCATTTGATGTTTACTCCAGGGGCCAACTTCCCAGTTATATGTTGGATTTTTCCACAGGGTTCTTGAACCTCCCAGTTCCCTGAGTTGCAAGTATCAGGCACCCAGCTCAAATTGGCTTTAGGGAACAGGGGAGTTGATTGGCTCTTGTAGCTAGAAAATTCCATGGGGAAGCTTTAGGCATGCCTGGATTTAGGGCCTGGAAAATAGCATTGAGAGGTCATCTGTCCCCGTCTTCCTCTGTCCCTTTTCATCTCTCCATCCTCCTGCCCCTCTACCTTTCCTTTGTCCCACACCCCATCACCCACACCCAGAAACTCACTGGCTCTGTGCCCTGCACCCACCTTGCCCTTTGATCTTCCAGTTTATCTAGCAGCCCCATCCTGTCAGCAGAGATCGCCCCACAGTCTAGTTTATGGCAGCACCATATTCCCATGCGGGGATGGCCACTCTGTGTAGCCAGTGGCCAGGCATTCACTTGGTGTCCCCAGTTTTCGTGACCGACAGCACTGTGTGCCAGGCCTCACGCTGGTGTGCCGTGTGTCTGGATGGAGTTGTATTTTGGAAATGTTAACTAGATTGCTGTGCACCATGGCCTTACCTGTCTGCGCTCCCGTTAGCTCCCATACAGCTACAGTAAATCCACCTTACAGTTAAGTGGGGCAAGGCTACGTGGACGCGCCTGCCAAGAAGCTGCCCTAAGCCCCTCCCTGCCGTGGAGTTGTGGTTTCTGTCATGGTGGCTGGCTGGAATCCAAGCCCAGTGTTTGTCTAACTCGGGTCCTCAAGTGAAGGCAGTGTTGCCTGAAGGGGGCACGTGGCAGACGTTTTCTTTATCACAACCAGTGAGAGGGTGTCCCTGACACCTAGTGGTTAGAGGCCATGGTGCTGCTCCACACTGCACAAGGGAGACACAGGCCACCCACCACAGAACCACCCGGCCCTAATGTCACCGGTGTCGTGCCTGAAGAGGCCAGAGCCAAGTGCAGAAGAGCAACGCCACTGGGGTGGCGGCTTGTCCCCTGCCATGGCTTCTTCCCGTTGGCCCCTTGACTGCAAGTGCTTCTTCATTCCTGGGGCCTTCACTCCCCATCCCGGGGCTGAAAACAGGAGATAACGTGTGTAAACCTCTTTACAAGGTGCCTGGTCGCTGAATGCTCCCAAAAGGCCAGGTGTTCGGGGTTTTCTGCAGGGTAGGAGGCTTTCTGCCTTAACCATGGGCACTCCCACCATGCAGGTATGACCTCCTCCACCCAGCTTGCCCCTCTCCGGTCCCTCCAGCTGTCTAAGCGACCTCCGGGTCCCCCTCATGTGCCCAACCCCTCCCCTTTCCCTCCAGGTGTTGTCAAATCCCTTTCCCGGGACCTGGCGGTGGCCCACAATGTAATCACTTGTCAGTCACCCCCTGGCGGGGTCTCGTCTGTCTGGGTTCCCTGCATCACTGACCTCCCCGTTTGACCAGCACAAGGGCAAGTTTCAAGCTCCAAACCTGCCAAACCCTTTCAGTAATTTACTCAGTGGCACGTTTGTCTCTTGGTTAGGAACTGAATGAGCAGATGCTATTTAAGAAGCCCTGTGGCCTTGAAGTATCTTGAAAATCATCTCACCTCTGCTTCACGGCAGCCACTTGCCTTGGCCAGCATGGCTGGTCTACTGTGTGTCCACCACACCAGCCTCCCTTCAGGTGCTAGACAAGGCCAAGCTGGATCCCACCTCAGGACCTTTGCACTTGACATTCCCATGGTCTAGAGTACTTTTGCCTTCATTTTTGCCTGGCTGGCTCCTCATCATTGGCTCTCAGGCCCTGAAGCCTCCCCACATCCTCTCCTATCACATCACCTGTTTTGTGCACAGACCTGTCCCCGTCTGGAGGGAAATGTATCCACCCCTCTCCTCCACATTGTAAGCCCAGCAAAGGTTTATGTGTTCTCTTGTTCATGGTAGTATTTCCATCCCCTAGAAAGTGCCTGTCACATAGTAGGGGCCTAAAGGGTGCTCCCTGAATGAGTAAGACACTAATAGCTATTTTTCTTGTCTTCTACAATTTTCAGCTCACTGTTTGAAATAGACAGAATCAAAACGAAAGAAGAAATGTGACTCAAACCTGCTGTAGAATCACAATAAGCTTCTAGAAAGACCTCTGAATGTGCATCCCTGCCACTTCTTCAGGCAATACTACTTAGCTGTCTCTACAGCCGTCAGGGAACCTGGCAGTTAGGGTTCCAAATAATGTGAACTCCCATCTCTCCACCATCCTGACCTTTCAGCCAGCTGCTGGGGTTGTGGACAGAGAAGACCCCCAAGTCAAGGTCGGGGTTGAGCCGCCCCCCTCAGTGGGGACCCTTCCTACCTTGGGCACCACTGTGCTTTGGTAATAAATTGTTTCATTGGAGCCTGGTGAATCAAGTGTCTACAGAAAGCATTCCTTTTGGAGACATTTAGCTTCTCTTTTCCCATCTTTCCATTCCTTCGACCTTTCACCCAACTGTTCACTCTTCATTCATCCCTCCAAACTTTCATGTAGGTGCCCACCCATCCCTCCATCCACCCATTCTCCCATCCACTTACCCTTCCTCTCTTCCATACTTCACACTTCCCTTCACTCAACAAATACTCAGCAGGCAGGCATTTATTGAGTGCGTGCTGTGTGACGTGCACTGTGCTGCCCCCAAGGATCCCCACCAAGGGCCTTGAATTTAGGGAGCCGACCGCCAAGTGCAAGGAGGAGGTATTAAATGAGATGGTCTCAGGGTATGCTCAGCGCTCTGGAGCAAAGGCTGGGACAGAGAGTGGGGAGTGCCTCTGGGAAGAGCCTGGACACAGACCGGGGAGGTGGCCGGCTAAGCACCTGCCCCTCTGGGAGTATGGGTCTGGCCTGCAGCTGTGGGACAGTGGTTGGAGGAAGGGAGGGCCTGAGGCGAGAGTTCAAAGGCAGCCTGGCCGGCAGCACAGGGGAGGGATTCCAAAGAGGAGGAGATAAACGTGTCTCTTGGTCGTTGAGTATCTTGAGTTATCACCCACCTTACTTCCCAATGGAAAAATCAGGCCAGGCCGGGGAGAGGCTTCTCGGAGACACCCAGAGTCTTGCCAACACAGGTGAGACAAGCAATTTAGTGGACTGAGGGTCATTTCCCAGTTGAAAGCAGGGCGCATGTAACCCTTTCCAGAAGGGGATATTCCTTAGGGTGAAAACCTCCTGCTCACATCCCTTTGTTCATGAGTCCACAAATAAATGGATGTCACCTGCCCTTCAGGGCCCCAAATCAGATAAGACCTTGGTCACAGTGCCAATGTCTTCCCCTCCCATAAGACCCCGTGGTCCATCAATCACCCCGAGGTCCCAGCAGGTCCTCTGTCTGCCATCCTCAGCTCTGAACGGGCAAAGCCAGCTGGGACCCAGTGCTGTGAGACAACAGGAGATTCGCCTGTCCAGGCAGAGCAGAGAGAGAGTGGACAACCACCCTCTGTGTCTGAACCCGCCTTTGTCTTGTCCCCAGAGCCCAGGTTCCTGACCTTGTGTGTTCTGGCAGCTCATCCCCCCACCTCTGAAGGAGGAGGTGGTTCCCTTGGCCTTAGACAGAATCACATGGCCCCTGGGGGCGCAGGAATGACTCCCATACCTGTTCTCAGGCCCCTCCACCCTGCTCTGCCCCGAAATGAAATCCTGGTTCAGACTTAATCAGACATTTGTGGTGCTGGCCGTGGATTTTTTTACAGTTTTTTACTGGAGAACACCTCTGAGCCTTCGGTAAATGCACGCACGTGGCGCAGCCCCCAGGAGGCCCCAGGAGGTGGCTGGGAAGAGCAAATCATTCCCCTTGGCTTGGGAGATACTTTTCTTGTGAAAAAGTCTGGCTTCTAAGACTGTTACAAGCAAATCCCTTATAGCTGCGACGTCCGAAACAATAGCAAATGTTTGCAGAGACTGTCTTACTGATGCTAAAAAACAAAATCCAACCGAGTGAACTTCAGAGATTTTAATGGCTCTGGTCAATGATTCATGAATTGTGCAGCATCCAGTGGAGCAAACAGAAAGGAGCCCTGACGAGCTGCACGAAATGAAAACCTATAGGCAGGAGGGAACAGAAACAACGAAGTTCTAGGCAAAAAAGCAGGTTGGTTATTCCAAGGTCGCTTTCTTTTAGGGGATGGCGGGGGTCTGTCAGGCAGATTGCCTCACTAGGGCTTGTTAGGCTGGAGAAAGGAAAAACAAGGACATGCAAACAGAACAGAGAGATGCCATAGGGGGAGAACAGACCAGACCCCAAGGTCCGTGCCGTATATGGAAAGGGGGACAGCTCTCCCTGAATTCCATCCTGATGTGCCATCTGGGACCCGAATGTCAGCCTCCTCCCTCTTGGAAGGAAAAAATTTCTAGTTGTCTATCATGTCACCTTTAGCCAATCATACCTCTCCACACCCCCTAGGACAGCTTGCCCCCTCCTCCCCCTCCTAATCCCTTATAAGCCCCCCACCTCCCTGACCGGGCATGACTTCTCTGGCCTCTGGCAAGAAGGCCACAGAACCTCACCCGGGGGTATTCAAATAAATCACCTGGCCCTGTGTTGCCTCGCTTTGCCTGCTTATTTTGGCTAAAATTTATCTTACAGTGCTGACCAGGCAGTTCCTGATTAACTGGTTTACAATTCCATTTCTGAGAGAGCTGAACCTGTAATTAATTAAGCCGTTGGGTGATGTGGGGCTTGGCATACGCAACTCCTTTTTTGGGACCGTTAGCTTGCTTTTACTTAGTTGGAAGCTAATGGGAAAAAAATTACTGCCTTTGATGGTGATATTACAAATTTTGATGGATGCTTATGAAAGGTGTAGACCATGTTTATTCAGAGTGGAAGTGCAGGATGAATGATTCTAAGGAAGGCTCTGGCCGCCTGGCCCATTGCATAATGTTGCACAAATAGCCTTGGAGGGCATTTCTGTCGACACTGAAGTCATTGTCTGGAAACTGTTTTCTCACTTAGCCTTTATATTGTTTGAGCTGAGCGATGAAAGCATTTTTATAATTTGTTGCCATTCCGTATTCTTCAGCTCCTTCTCTGGTTCAAACCCCCTTTGTTGGCTCTCTAACAAATGAAGTCCAGAAATCCTCAGTATATTTACTCGAAGCACTCAAAGTATATTTTAGTTCTGAAGAAAAAGCTCTCAATGGGTGTACTTAACACCTTCCAGGTTCCTGGACCCGATTCCAATGTGGGTGGGTAGTGGGGGCAGGGAAGTTGTCCCCCACACAGCACCAAGCAATTCTCGAACACCAGCAGGGTGTCGGAGAACTCAACTCAATCCCGATGCACAGCACCAGATCCCCAGGTTCAGGGCTCCGTCCTACAAGACTGCCCTCCACCCCCCACTCCAGATGCCAGTTGTGTTGGCAGGAAAATAGAGATGAGCGGGGTGGAAAGAAGAAAAAGGCCAGTAGGCCCACTAGAAGGGACTCAAAAGAGTTGATCAGTTAAAAATAAAAAGCAACTTGGCCTAGAAGTTTGAATACTGCCCAGATAAGAAAAAGTATCTCAGCATAGCCTATGTTTTCACTGTGTCAATTAGCACATACCATTGTAAGATTTACTTTAGCACCTGCTTATGCAGGAAGAATTCTATCTTAAAGCTAAGATTGCCTTTTAATCAAACAGACAGTGGCTCAGCCCACCTTGGAGACAGGACAGACAGACTGATCTGGTTCCAGACAGAAGCTGATATCCTGGAAAGGAATCAATGCAGTAAATTTCTTGTGTTAAGTTAAAAAAAGAAACTTAATGTCTTATCAAAGATGAACATTCTGGGACCATTTGGCAGGTCCACACCTGGCCCTTTGTCGCTTCCCTGAAAATCCTCATCCTATAAAACCCCAGACCCTACATTTTTGGTGCGCTCCTCTCTGAGGTCGCCCACACTTTCTAAAGGCAAGGCATAACCTTAAACTTTTCCCAATCTTTCAGCGCGCCTCTCTCTCTAAAGTAGCCCACACTCCCCTTTCCCTGAGTGTGTGCACTTTCTTTAAATAAAACTTAAACCTTTGAAGGCCCACTTGACTTCTGGAGGGGCTGGAGACAGAGCAACTGAGGCCAGCCGCCCAGGTGCTCTATGCCTGTGTGACTGACCCCGTATTCATTTCCTGGGGTTGCCACTATTGCCGTAACAGAGCCACACACTGGGTGGCACAAAACAACAGAAATGTGTCGTCTCCCAGTTCTGGAGGCTGGAGTCAGAGACCGAGGCGTCGGCAGAGTTCATTCCTTTTGAGGCCAGGAGGGAGAGAATCTGTTCCCAGCTCCCTGGCTCGTCAGTGACATCATCACATCATCTTCCTTCAGTACGTGTCTGTCTCTGTGTCCAAATGTCCTTTCTTTATAAGGACATGGGTCCTACTGGATCAAGGCCCAACATAACGACCTCACCTTAACTTAGTCAACTGCAAAGACCTTATTTCCAAATAAGGTCACCTTCGCAGGTATTGGGGGCTAGGAATTCAAGGTCTTTGGTGGGGGACACAGTTCAATGCATCACAGGCCCCCACTGAAAGGAAACCCTAGACACCAGGGTCCAGGTGAGCGTCCTTGGTTGGGAACACTTCCTTTGTGTGGCCACACGGTGTTGCTTGGTTTATTAGCCAGCTTTGGGCTGCCATAAAATGCCACAGGCTGGGGCACTTAAGCAGAAGTTTATTTTCTCACAGTTCTGGAAACTACAAGTCCAAGATCAAAATGCCAACCAGGTGAGGGCCTGCTTCCTGGATTTCAGAGGACCATCCTCTTCCCACCATGTCCCATGTGACAGAGGGAGAAACCTCTGGTCTTCTTTCTTAGAAGGGCACTAATCCTATAGCATCGGGACCCAGCCCTCTGGCCCTATTTAACTTAATTACCTCCTTGTCCCTGGCTCCAAATACAGTCACACCGGGAGTTAGGGCTTCAGCATATATCTGGGGGGCACACAGTTCAGTCCACGGCAGTGGGAGAAGTGCTGTCCACATAACCCCAGTGGGAGAGACACCTGGAAGCTGGTGCCTGGTCCCTGGGCATCTTTTCCCTGTGAAGGTTTTAATCTGTATCCTTTTGCTATAATGAACCATGAGTGTAACAGTTTCTGAGTTCCTTCCAGTGAGTCATTTATTGTCTTGCCAATGGGTTTCAGCCTCAGGCAATTCACAATGGATTCAATGAGACCAAAGAAAGGACAGTGGAACATTCTTGGGATGAAAGGGTTATACCCAACTTTATTCCCACGGTGGCAGGTCCATCACTAGAATCCCGTCCACTCAGAGTGAGTCTGCATGCAGCAAGCCCGTCTCTGCCTCTGGGCCTCTCTGCCTCTGCAGCCATCTCAGGCTCTGTCCTCAGCGCTGCCACCACTCCAGCCTCTGCTCTGCTGCAGCCACAGCAGCCCT